GGAACCGTGATCTCCACCACTGCGAGTCCATCCTCTGCTAACTGGCTCTCATTCCAAGAGTACACCGGCTCTTGACCCTCTGGGTACCCCACATCATGGAGCACTCTCCAAAGCAAAGTTGGCATGCCAAACTCGCTCAAGAAGGTGTCCGTGGTGCGGTGCTCCCTCAGGGCCAACGGACGTCGAGGTGCTCTTCCTCCGGTGGACTTACGGGCGGTCTGCTTCGTGCGAGCCATCTGTAGCAAAAGTTCTTTTATTACCTCGGGGAAACATATTTTTGGTGATACAACTTTTATCAAAATGGGATAATCAATTTATAAGGGGAGGAATGCATGACATGAATGAAATGCACAAGTAACATGATGTATGTACGTACCGTACGTTCTCACAAACTTAGGAATAAATAATTTCTAACGACGAATTCGGTGGCATACAACGATCTCTCAATACGTAGCTAATACGTTCTACACGATAGCGTTGTTATGTACCTACAGAAGATTCATTTCAGCCCAATTCCCAATGAATGCATAATAGCAGTAAAGTTTTATCTACACGCTCTACACGAATCCCCAGATACGTGTACAACGGTAGTAACTACCCGAACCATCGTCCTATTGAGGGCATCGCCTCCACAGACGGAAGACCCCTACATGAGATACCTTTGTAAAACATGCGTAGAACATGTAATTACTCCAGCATCATATAAGCATTCACCCTAGATCGGCGGTGTATCCGATCATGCTCTCACAACTCACACTTACCGAGGCGTAGAGGCAATTGATCCATTCATTACCACTCAAACAAGTGGCACTCATACAATAGCACGCCGTATGAGCGACGAAAGAGAATTATGATGCAAGAACCCCAAGTCAGTACTTAATTAAGCCACCTAAAGTCCTTAACTGGGCATAAAGGATATGATCACTGGCACACTTTAGATTTTGAAAATCACGTTTTCCCAAATGCCTTTTTGTTTTAAATACACTTGTGAACAGTAACACGCTAAACCATGCTCTGATGCCAGCTGTAACAGAACCGACCAATTATACGAAATTAAGTAAGAAAATCATCCACCAGAGTAGACGATTGAGCAAACTTAAGCCCGTATAACCCGGTAGTCCGTGAAATCGCAAAGGATTTCAAACCAACTCGTGTCCCAGCCATGATCGTAATAAGTTTAGCGGTCACCATCACATATTACATAAAAGTTCGCAATCTCAGATACATCAGAGTTTAAACATAGTTATTACAAACCAGTTCGAATAAAAGTAGCGGAAGCCATTTGTTCAAACCACACACACTCACGCGGAGTTCAAATATAGTGCCAGCGAATGATCATCTCCAACAAAAGCATTAGATGAGACGTAAGGAATGACCATGCCCATGGTCCTAAGCATCACCCATCGTAGGATAAAGGCAGTTGATACAATAGCCGTAATACATCTGCCCATCTGCAACAAGTGGGAATAAAACCCTGAGTACGAGAAGGTACTCAGCTAGACTTACCCGACATAACCAAAAATGAAAGACACCAAGGATTATGAAGGGCTTTATAGTAGGGTAGCTGACTCATTTGCAGAAAGAAGCATTTTTAGCATTTCAAGAACCTTTCTAAAAGCATTATTGCCAAGTTAATTATTATGAACCTGTCGACTAGATTTGCACCTATACTAGAGTAAACATGTGATTAAGCAGATAATGATAACCAATGATCATTCAACAACTTCCATACTGTCATATTTACTATAACTGTCCAAGTGTTCCATAACATTTACTACGATGAAGTAACTCAAGTCAAGTGCTCACTATCCAGGAGCGATGGCGATTCGAATCGATTCCTAACCAGCTGGTGATTTATTCCTTACACAAATCTCACTCACCCGCTAAAGTGAGATATTGATCACCGAGTCAACTTTCCAGGTATCTCGAGTTTGCCAGGAACCACATGTACCCGGGGGCCGACCGACTGCACTTTGGTCTTATCATCCCGCCCCCGTGTCCTACCACACCTGCTTTTCCGCGGTCTTGCGCTGCATGGGCAATCTACTCGGCCCGAAAAATCTCCCAGCTTCGCGGTCGGAAGGTACTTTATCCGGCCAACTAAATGTAAGGCATGCGTTCAACATGACTCGAGGCCCAACAACGGTCGGTCCTTAATCGACACAGACGGAAACACTACAGTCCAAAACTCTGCAAGTCTCCGCTCGGTCTCAACTTCATTTAACACTTAGTTATACCATGACTTCATAGCCATCCAAGCGAGATCCGGTAACCACCTATAGCTCGCGGTGACAGAAATCACCCGACTTCTACCGGTCTAAGCCGGCTAAGCATTGACTCATTGCGGATACCGGGGTAACAAGGATATAGTATAACAAAGGTAAACAAGGTATAATGCAAAGAACGGTTGCAAACAACTCCTGAACGTAATGCATCAATTTAAAGTAAAGCATTTAATGAAATCATTGCAAACCGGAGAAAAGATGCTCGGGCTTGCCTCTCTCGAGGAGCTCGGGACGGTGATCGGGGGCACTCGGGAAGTTCCTCAACGTCCTCCTCGCGTCGCTTCGGCACTTCCTGCCGCTTTGCACTCGAGCTGCTCCTCGGGCTCCTCGGGTATGACGACTGGGTTCTCGGTTTGCGATCCTGTATGATGCAATGCGCGTAAGTGATTATGAAAACGGTGCATCGAAGGAGATGAATGCAATGGATATGTTTAAATGCAAGGTAGTCAACATCATCCAAGGAATTATACTACAAGCACATGTCATCTACTGCATTCTCTTCTACTACTAATATGTTAAGTTAACATATCTTATGAAATGCTTCAAAGATACACCAAAGCTTTACTAATTTCTTAATCACACTTAAGGCAACACTTGCTTAAACCCTAATTAATAATAGGTTTGAATAGCAACATATATTTCTGATGCTTATAAAAATCTGAGAAAATTACAGTAGCAAGGTACTACTCTAATTAGACTACCATCAGATTTTCATGGTGTTTGAATGAGTGGATTAGCCTACACAAAAATAACAAGCTATGGCATGATTTTGTACATGAAAATACTTTGAACTGTGAAAAGTGTCAAACAACAGAATTAATATTTTTCCTAGGTTCTTCATAGAATATAATGACTGTACAAAAATCATCACATGCATGTTTTATACAAAGTTTGCTCTCTAACAAAAATAACAAAAATCAGTCATTAAAGGTACTTGAACTACACCTAAAACTTTTCCCACAGCACATGCATGAAACATATTTTTCCTAGGAAGTACATGACATAATAAGATTAACAAACTTGGAATCATATTTTTCTGAAGACTATAGATTTTTCTACACATTTTCAAGTTATCAAAGAATATCCATGATCAAATAAAATCCTACAGAAAATTATCCCAAAATGACATGCAATAATTTTTCCAAGTAGATCTGGTGATAAGGAACCTAGCAAATTTTGTTTCAACAAATTTGGAGCAAGTTTGATCACCCAAACATTTTTCAAACCATTTCAGATTTCAATTAACAAATAATAAATGGAAATCAATTCATTTAAGAAATACTGGGCCGGCCCGTGGGGAACAGCTGGCCCATGGCCGCAACTGGCCCACGCGGACCGAGCGAAAAGGGGAGCGCGGCGGCCTGGCAGGGCCTCGGCCCACGGCTGCTTTCGGCCTTGCAGTGGAGGTGCCTCGCCCGGCGCTGTGCCAACCGCGCGCAGCAGCAGCTGCTCGGCCAGCGACGGCCGCCATCTCCGGCCACAGCAGCATAAGCAAGCGAAAGCGCAGAGAGATGAGCGAGGAGAAGGCGAGTTCGGTAGGGTAGCTAAGCGAGGCCGAGGGGGGAGAAGGAAGACGGCTTCCATGGCGGCCGAGCACGGCGGCGCGGCGCCATGGCCGTCGGGCGGGCGCTGGGAAGCTCACCCTGGGCTCGGAAGGCGGAGCAAGCTCGAGCGCGACTTGAAGGAAGGCGAGGCGGAGTTGCGGGCGCGAGCAATCGGAGAATGGCACGGTGGTGCGGGAGCTCGACGCCGGCGGAGCTGCGGGCGCGACGAGCGGCAGAGCTCGAGCTCTCGGCTCTGGAGGGGAGGAGAGGCAGCGCGGCGGGAGTGAGCGAGCGCTGGGCACCAGCAGTGAAGGCGGCGCGTGGCGCGCGTGCAGAACCAGCGGCTGCCAGCGGCGGGCGGCGACGCCGCACGTGGTCGCCACGCGGCGGAAGTTTTCTGCCGCGTGATGCGCGGCGTGTGCGCGACCAAAATAGGGAACGGCGGCGGAGAAAAAGAAGGGTCATGCGCGGAGCTGGGCTGGGCCGAGGCGAGGTGGGCCGGCGCGGGAGACGCGCGAGGCGCGCGGCTGGCGGGGACGCGGCCAGGCCGGCTTCGGCAGGCGGGCCAGAAACGAGGCGCAAGGCCCACGAAGGAGGAAAAATCCTTTTCCAAATAAAACTTTCAAGGAATTTTTAAATGCCATCTTTCAAATATTATTTTGAGCAAGAAAATGACCTCTTTTGAAAATGTACCAAAAATGAAAGTTGTTTAGAATTTAATTCTCTACAACTTTGCTTTTATGACTAAAGCCAAATTCTTTCTAGATTTTGAATTGTAACATCAAAGTCCACGTTTAGCTCAAAAACCCTAATTTTTTGGAATTTATTTTTGAAGCCAAATTTTGAATTAATTTGAATACAAACATTGCTACAAAAATTGAACTAATCATTGCTAGATGATTTACAATAGTAGCCAAACATGTTTTACTAACCTAGCAAGAAAATTTCAGGGCAAAACAATTCTTAAACAGGTGTATGCATCATTCAGGTTTTACGCATGTTTCAGATGTTTCAAAGCAATGTTTCAATTGTTATTCACATGATTAAGCATGTATGATTTGGATGCTTGATGATGCATGATATGCTTGATTTGCAGTGCCTAAATGTAGGCATAACACCGGGGTGTTACATCCAGCTTTAGGGTGCACTTTGTGTGGCTTATTCGGATCAGAGTGTGAACACAATTGATGTATGGATGATGAAAGATTGTGACCTCTGGTTAGTGGAGTATCACATAGAGCTTGAGAAGTTCTTACCAGATTACTCGTTGGAGAACGCTACACCGTTGGCTATTGATCCAAAGGATGGACGGATTTTGCTCAATGCAGGTTGGTCATTGGGCTACTATGATCCCAAGACGGCAGAAATTGAAACCATCTACAGCATGAACATCTTAGATCATAGCTACAAATTGTGCCCTATTATCTGCCATGAAAGTTTGGTGTGGCCATTTAGCCTGTCATAATCTGGGGGTAGGTACACTCCTACTTTGTAAATACTTCTTAGGCTGCTTTAAGCTTTTTGTCTTATTTGAAGGAATTCACAATCATCAATGACTTCAACTTTAATTGTATCCTCAAAAAAATACTTTCCAGTATTCTTAATTATAGTCATGAAACCTTAGCTCTAGTTCTCTAAGCATCTCCCATCTCTTTACATAACTTTGACTTCCTTTGCAATGGTTGTGTAAAAACTCAACTTGGTAGAGGATGAAAGTAAGTTTATCTTTTTCATGAAACCTATCTTCATTGTATTGGATGGTATGAAGGATGAAACTTTCAGTGTTTGAGTTTCTTTGAGCACTGGTTATTCAAATAATGCAAATTGTTAAACCAAACAGTTATGGATAAATCATTTGCAGTCAGCATTAATACCTTAAAATTTGATGAGTCTGGCAGTATGTATGCAACAGGTATGCACAAAAAATACAAAACAGTACCACGTGGACTTCTGAGGATCTGAATTGAAATAAACTTGACGAGTTTGGAAATATGTATGCAACAGTCATGCACAAAGAATACAAAACAATACGACATGAGATTGGAACTGATACTGTTGAAAACAATTGATCGAAAGATATGATCTTTGGATACGAGTTTAGCCAAGGACTTCATTTGGCAAACTTGAAGGTTTCATATGGATGGTCACTAGTATGGCCAATGCCCATATCTATTTTAACCAATTATTTAGTTCTTTCGATCCTACCTTCAGTTTGACTTATATAGTTATATTAGATTTGTCCTTCATAGGAAGCTGAGCCTAGTTCAGTTGGTTGAGGGTGTGGTTGTCTGCCTAGACCACCTAGGTTCAAGTCCTTGTTGAGCAGAATTTGGTGCCTATTTTCTTCTTAACACAAACCTTAGAAACCACCTAATTCCTCCTTGGTTGGTCTAATTTTTTTTAGAGTTGTCCTTTTTCTATCTATATCTGCAAATGGAGCCAGTTTTTTTCTTTCTTTCTTGACCTGCAAGTAAAATTTCCATGGGTTAATGGAACATTTTTATTTAGTTAGCATACTTATCAAAGTCGTTGCTATTACAGACTGTCTTTCATCCCTTTTTTCCAAATTCTAACTCCCTGCATCGGTTTATTTGTATGGCACAGAAAGCGAGGACAAAGTACTGGTGGTGATGCTATAGATGAACTGACGTGGGTCGCCTACTTGCCTCATATCATCATGATCCCATTTATCCTTGGTCTTTCCTTATGCGAAAACTTGTAATCTCAGCAAGAATAATTGGTTTGAGTAATTATCTTGTTGAGTGCTTTGTGGCAGCAAGATTTACTTTTAGTTCCAAAAGTTGTATGGCCGTCCGAGGACAGTCAGGGATAAGAGAATGGTAACCTGATAGTTCCACAAAAGATGAGTAAAATTTGCATACAGTTTGATGACATGTGGCTTGTTTGGTTTTTCTTAAAGTCCTCGCTGAGCCTTGATTTTGAAGTCTATCTAGTCTTTTGTTCATTTTGGAAGTAACTACTTCCGTTTTTGTCTATCTTTTATTATGGAAGTAGCCTTTTGTTGACATGTCAGCCTTTCACCTTTGTTTGACACATGTTTTGATTTTGGAAACTTGGACCAACACAAGTTTTTGTGGTAGCTGTGGTCGATTGAGGAAGCTAATGTTCATGAAAATTATTATATTCACGATTTTACTCTTATGCAAGAGCAATGAAGTGAAACATCGGTCAACACTCTTGAAGTGAAGCGGTAAGTGCACTTCTTAGTTATGGTGCGGCTATGTTAGAATAAAGCTGGAGTTCGGGGATTTTCTTGATTGGTTTCACTAAAAGTAGCTTCTTAGTGCACTCCCCATCCGCCAAGGCTCTTTTACAGGAGAAATGAAGTAGCGGTTCTTTTACAGGAGAAATGAAGTAGCTTAGGGCAGTCACAGCTAAAATTTTGCAATGGAGATAGAACAGATAGTGTACGAAATCTCTTATATTACTAGGGATAATAAAAATTCTCAGAAGTAGATAATTTTTTATTTAAGTTATACTCTTATCAAACCAGGGCCATGCCCAAGTCTGAAACATACTCCACATGTAAGCTTGTGATCAGAACATTATACAGATCTAGTTACACATTATATCTTAAATGATTTCTAACTGCACAACTCAAGCTAAATTTCAAGGTAATCATTGCATATTTATCAGTACCAGGAGAGCGATCATGACAACCATTATGTGACCGTGCCTGAGCACATTATAAGTCACACACTTCTTGCGACCGTGCCTGAGCACATATTTCGTCAGAGGAAGAGATTTACAAAAACAAAACTTCAAGAGAACCTCGAAGCACAAAGATACGAGCACTACCACATAGCTTGTGGGAACACAAGAACACAATGCTAGAACATACACAAAGAAACCGACCACCTCAGCTCCAAACACAACAAAGGAAGTAAAATTCACCACCACACTAATCCTAAAAGTGCATCTAACCCTATCATAGGTTTTGGTGAATTAGTGACAATGTAAATAAAGAACTAATGAGATATGAAGCAATGTAGTGAATAAACATTATTAAAACTGCAAATGACCAATGCAAATCACTAATTCTTCAAAAGAATGATCACTACAACAAATGAACAACTTGGAGAGAAGATGCTAAAAGACTCAACCATGTATACAAGCTTAGCAACCCACTATATGGATTAAAGCAAACACCTAAAGCATGGTATGAGGTTCCAGGTACCTTTCCTTTAGGACTTTCTATTTTTCCACAATCCAATATCAATCAATGAATAGTCCATATTTTTTTCCAACTATTATAAAACTTGTAACAGAACCACAGGGAACAATTAAGTTTCTTGTTAGGCAAGCTTCTACTAACCTAAACAATCAAGCAATAATGGTTTCAATATAGTCAACTAAAACATAAGGATTTGTGCTATCAAGGAGAAAAAAACACACCATCCTACGATATCATGTTAGCAATAGCGGGCATCACAACGCAGCAGCACGAAAAAGATGCAAGTAGTCTTTGGAAATTTTGATGACATGTCAGCCTTTCACATTTGTTTGAAACATGTCTCGATTTTGAAAACTTGGACCAACGCAAGTTTTTGTGGTAGCTGTGTGGTCGATTGTTCAGAACTTAGATCTGAGGAAGCTATTATTCATGAAAATTGTTATATTCATTCATGATTTTTACTCTTGTACAAGAGCAATGAAGTGAAACATCGGTCGACACTCTTGAAGTGAAGCGGTAAGCTCAAAGAGACACCCGCAACCTGAAATATAAAAAAAATCAGTACAGGGACTATTGTTGTGGGCTCTCCTACTATGAAGTAGTTGCAGATCATGTCAGCCGGTTATGGTGCGGCTATGTCAGAGTAAGTCGGGGATTTTCAGAGCTTATTAGTGCACTCCCCATCTGGCAAGGTTCTTTTACAGGAGCAATGAAGTAACTTAGGTGTGGTGGAACCGCCTAATCTAATGCCTTCCAGAATCGCTCGTCTTCTATTAGACACTAAACATCCAAAGGAGGACACTAAATTACGCAGTTTCGTCGAGCACACCCTAGGGAAGAATCCAAAAATCCACAATTTTGCCATCGGATCACAAATGGGAGAATAAAGCTTACATCATTCTTAACCATTTCTTACATCACTTTTAATATAACATCAGAGTATAATATTTATTATTATAACAACGGAATGTAATCATATTATCAGAGTTATGAACAATTTAATTGAACAGCGGAATATAAACATGTGATCAGAATTACAGCGGAAATAATTACCTCATTATGACATAATGAATTATTGATATGTAAACTATGACAACAGATTATAAAACTTTCATTATAAAAATATTTAGGGGGAGTTATAAATAAAGACTATGATCGCAGCGTAAAGGAAATCCTCTCTGAGCTCACCAGGAGGAATCCATACACAATGGTCAGTTTTAGCATCCACCTGTCACCTGCAATAGGGGGAATAAAACCCTGAGTACTCAATTGTATTCAGCAAGACTTACCCGATAGAAGGAAAGAAAATACTCCAAGGATATGCAAGTCTATCTGGCTTGTGGGTTTATTGCATTTGCAGGAAGCATTACTAAGCGTGCGTCCTTATATTCGATTTTTATTAATAGCTACATTGGTTCATTAACTAACCATTCTATGTAAGCACCTGTGCTACTTTCAAGCAGGTGGTAAGCAATCAGATTTCCTTTTTCCATTCCATCTTTCATCTTTTAATTCTTACTACGGTGCTAGGCATGAAACAAGCCGTACCGGATTGCCCAGCGATTCACGAATCAATGCCCCTAGCTAGGTACCCCGAAAACACACGCCCCGCTTGTACCCAAGGCACAAGCAGGACCAACCCATCACCCTCTTGTCCTGGGGTCCTAGGTCCCCGTCCAAACTGGGACTCTAAGCCCCTGTCCCTGAGTCCCGGACTCAGTGCGGTGTAAGGACCTCCTCCACCAAAAAGAAACCCTGACAGTCGGTCCAGAAAGAGCTGGAACCCACGACAAAAGAGCAACAAGTCTTCCAAGCGCCCATACCCAAGTATGTGCTCGGGATAATAAGTCTGTGACTTGCCTCGATGGCTTATGCAACGACCGGTCCTTAACCGACACGGACAGGGAAAGCAGTGTAACCAAGCCATGCCCCGCGTCCACGGCGATACAACCTCTTATACCCACCAATACCCAAACCATATCCCTACCCGGTCACCATTTTTTCTTTTCACCATTTATATTTTTCAAGTGATAATAATCCAATAATATATTTTCTATATCTCGTGAGTGACAGCCATCACTCGACTTCTACTGGAGTCCTGTAGCATAGCAATCTACACGATCCTATCATACTAGTAAGACTCATAGGATAAAGATATATATATACAAGTGGGTTTCAATCAACTCCTTAAAACTTAATGCACAATTGTAATTTAAACTGCAGAAAAGTAGGGGTTATGCACCGGGGCTTGCCTGGGTAAAATATAACCAAAAGTTAGTATTTGCATCTTCAGATCATCCACCATCAACTAAATAGATAGCCTATTGCATCATCTCCTAGAGAGAATACCATTACACCATCTTCGGATTCCCAATCATCCTTCAATTGATCCGTTGCTCCATCATCGTACCTATATGATATGCATTGATGCAAATGCATAGATGTAAATAATCAACGACAGCCGAAATGCTTAGAAACCCGATTACGCCTCACAAGCTAACGAGCTCGCTCTAACGACGTCCGTACTTAGGCTACATATCCATGTTGGCCAATAAGACGTTATTTCCAACGAATGTTTTAGTTATATAAACCCAAGTTGTTTCTTTATTCCATTTTATCGATTTAATCATTATTCGAAATAGAGCATTATTATCTATTTAGCAAACTAATTATTCTGGAGCTACAAAAATTACAGTGAGTATCTAATATTGCTAGGAGCCTACTATACAAATTTCAGATTCCACAATATTACCAATTTATCACAACAATTTATATAAGTTTATATTTTTACAATATTAAGTACCTTAAATTAATTATATAGTTTATAAGAATATTATCGAACTATGTGAACAAAATATACTAACAGGTAGATCATGATTTTAAGAGACTAATAAAATTAGTTTTATAATTTTTGGATAGCTACACCAATTTATATTGATTTTACAAGTTTATTTACGAAACTAAATTAACAATTGCTTCATAAGACCAAAAGGGCCAGCGACCACTCATGCGGCCCAGCGGCGCGATAAGGGACGCGGCGGCCCAGGCGGAAGTGACACCCGACCAGCCCAGGCGCAAGTGGACCAAGGCCAGCAGCGTGACACGGCTCCAGACGCGCGCGCGGCCCAGGCGGCAAACGGACCGCCGCCCAGCGCGGGCAGGCCGGCCCATGCGCGTACGAGCGTGGCCCAACGCGCGGCGGGGCGCGAGCGGCCCAGTCAAGCCGACCCGCGGCGTAGGCACAACGGCAGCAGGCCGGCCCAGGAGGGAAGACCCAGGGCGTGGGCGCGTTTTTGCAGAAAACCCCTTATCCATTTTTCTAATTGCCACATCCTATTTGTACTATTCATTACTCTCTCAGTCGTATCACAATAACCCCTTGCTCTTGTTCATATTTACTAATCGTGGTCCCCGAGTGACTCCAAAGCAGAGCAGCGCAACAAGTCGTGGTCGGCCGGCACCGGTTCCGGCCGAGGGACTCGCCGGCGACGCGGGGCGAGCGACGAGGCGTGAGGGCCCCGCGCGGAGACAACGCGGCCGTGTAGAGCGACCCGGGGGCCAGGTCACCCGACGGTGGGCAGGGCGCGACTACCCGCGTCAGCGCGATTCATCGGCGACGGCGCATGTGCTCCGGCAAGGGTGCGGCAACACCGGGTGAACGGAGGGGCAGGGAACGAAGCAGAAGCTAGATAGGGTCGGTCGTGATGATCGGTTGGGCCGGAGGAAGTTGGGATAGTGCCGGCCATTGTTAGCGACCATGACAACCCAGTTCATCACCGGCAACAAGGTGTTCGGGCGTTCCTAGGGCGCAACTAGTTAAACCGCATGCCTTAAGAGTACCAGGGGCTCACCATAAGCTAGAAGGAAGGGCTAGATGAGGCTGCGGAGCTTGGTGAGATGGTTGGCCATGTGCGGGGCGGATCCGAGCTGGCGCGACAGCGGCGTCATCGTCGTTCCAGCGAACCACTGGAGCTCCGGCGAACCTATGTCGCAGACGAGGCCGAGGCATTAACGCGGAGCAATAACACCGAGAAGATCGAAGAAAAAGAGAAGGGATAGGAGGGTTCAAGGCTGAGCCTGGTGCGGCGTCCATGGTGGCCAACAGCGACGGCGAGGCTTCGGGCGAGCTCGCCGGTGGACGACTTACCCCGCGATCGACTGCACTGGCAAGCTATGGACCTTGGACACCAGTGAGTGCAAGGAATTAGAGGGAGGCTCTTCGTGCACGACGAATTTAGGAGGAGAGGGAGGGCGGTCATGGTGATTGCGGCAGCGGCGGGGTCGCGTGCGGCCGGGCGCTCAGCGCTGGCGAGGAGCGGGGAAGGGCGGAGCACCGCGTGGGGCGGTAGCGGCCACGACGCGCCGAGGAATAGCAGGCCCAGCATGGGGCCGGGGCACGAGCGCGGGGATGGCCGGCACCGGACGGGGAAGAAAGCGCAGGAGCAGGGGCGCCTCTTCCCACGACAGTAGAAAAAAGGAGGGGAAAGCAGCGACCGAGGACTGGGGAGCGGCTGCAGGACGGGAGGAGCGGCAGCCTGGTGGAGAAAAAGGAACGGCAGCAGCACCTTCCCCACTGACTCGATCACGGCGACGAAGAGGATGGGAGCACGAGAGAGACCGACATGATTGAAAGAAAGACAACAAGCCAGAGATGGGGAGGAACAGTGGGAAGAAGACAGCAGCGGCTCTGTCACTTACTTCATAAACATGGCGTGGCAGGACGTCCTGGCCCAACGTGGCCGGCAGGGTCAGGCCAGGCAGCGATGCATCCCATCATCAGTGCGACCGGGGCCACGGTTACGTGTAGCGCCACGAAGATATGTCTGCGCGCAGCCACGCGCAATAGCGACGCGGCAGGCAACGCGACGACGCAACAAGTCGGACAACTAGTTCAGAGAATGGGGACGCGCCACCGTCGCCACACTAGCGCCTAGACAGGACGACTTGAACCTAGCGGGACGCGAAGGCAGCCAACCCGGCAAATCCTTCATTAACGTGCACGTCGTACCGTCGAGTTAGGCGAGCTGAATGGCCAACGGTACCCTCGTCATTATTTTTAAACCAACAACATCACATTGACACTCAAACAAGCGTACCAACATATTCACGAGGCTCGTATCCTGCTGATGATATGAATTTTCCCATTTATATTTTATATTATTTTAACTTCCAAAAATTCGTTTTCTAAAACAACTTTATGCATGTGCAAGCATAACTAAAGCTCTAAGGTTTAGTAATTTACTTTCAACGAATTTTTGTTTATAGAAATTATTTTTCATGCCCAATCAAATAAACAAGTCATTCGCTATCTATTTGCTAGGATTATTGTCCGACATTCCTAAATATTTTTTTAACGACGAGTACTTTTAAATCAAAAATCCGCGAGACTTGTTTTGAATATTTTACTTAGGCCTAAATCGCGGCGCCAAACAAGATAATAACACCAGGGGTGTTACATTAGGACAATCACAATGCTAAAATCTTTCAATGGAGATAGAACAGACACGGTACGAAATCTCCGTTTGAATCCCTTCATTTTAGAGGAATTGAAATCTACTATGCCCTGTTCGCTTGGCTGATAAGCCATGGCTGAAAGTTCTGTTGACTGATTTGTTGTGAGAGAAGAATACTATTCGTTGGCTGAAAAAGTACGGCTTATAAGCCAAACGAACAGGGCGTTAATAGATTAGGCTATTTGGCTTGGAATTTGACATTCCATAACTTTCTCAAGTTCACAAATAAGCATATCTCAAATTCATAGGGTGGAAGATGAAAATGGATTCTATAGATCACTATACTATAATTCTACTCTCCAACTTATAGCACATTCTTCAACTCACTTCTCTACAATAGAAATGCAACATATAAGTATGTCCCTTGTATGCCTAACAATAAATATACAAATATATTTCATATACAACTATATTAGCTTAATTAATCTATGTCTAAATTGTAATTATTAGAAACGGGCTAAAAATTCTCAGAAGTAGATCATTTTTTATTTAGGTTATACTCTTATCAAACCAGGGCCATGCCCAAGTCTGAAACATACTCCACATGTAAGCTTGTGATCAGAACATTATACAGATCTAGTTACACATTATATCTTAAATGATTTCTAACTGCACAACTCAAGCTAAATTTCAAGGTAATCCTTGCATATTTATCAGAAACAGGAGAGCGATCATGACAACCATTATGTGACAGTGCCTGAGCACATTATAAGTCACACACTTCTTGCGACCGTGCCTGAGCACATATTTCGTCAGAGGAAGAGATTTATAACAACATAACTTTAAGAGAACCTCGAAGCGCAAAGATACGAGCACTATCACATAGCTTGTGGGAATACAAGAACACAATGCTAGAACATACACAAAGAAATCGACCACCTCAGCTCCAAACACAACAAAGGAAGTAAAATTCACCAACAGACTAATCCTAAAAGTGCATCTGACCTTATCATAGGTTTTGGTGAATTAGTGACAATTGTAAATAAAGAACTAATGAGATATGAAGCAATTTAGTGAATAAGCATTATGAAAACTGCAAATGACCAATGCAAATCCCCAATTCTTCAAAGAATGATCACTACAACAAATGAACAACTTGGAGATAAGATGCTAAAAGACCCAACCATGTATACAAGCTTAGCAAGGCACTATATGGATTAAAGCAAACACCTAGAGCATGGTATGAGGTTCCAGGTACCTTTTCTTTAGGACTTTCTATTTTTTCACAATCCGATCTCTATCAATGAACAGTCCATATTTTTTCCAACTATTATAAAACTCTACTAACCTAAACAATCAAACAATAGTGGTTTCAATATAGTCAACTAAAACATGCTAGGATTTGTGCTACCAAGGAGAAAAAAACACACACCATCCTACGATATCATGTTAGCATTAGCAGGCATCACAACGCAGCAGCACAAAAAAGATGCAAGTAGTTGTTACGCTTTTATGGGACGCGTTCACGTGGTTGCTCTGTCAAAGTAGAGTATATTGTACGGAATGAAACATGACATGACATGACATCAAAGTTGTATCCAGAAACTAAAAAAGAGGAATAAATCTATTCTAGTAAAACAACGAAAAGGTTTTGATCAATTAGAGGCGGGCATAGTCTGATCTTCGTGTCAGCCAGTAAGCCATGGTTCTCCCTGCCTGCTTGCCAGCTTCCTCATCTTCATGGCAGCAGCCTTCAGTGTGTCATCGCCTTTGCAGAATGCAAACCTGACATACCGGTGACAGTAGCTTTCACCGTCAAACGTCTTGTGGAAGAACCCACGGCCAGGCACGGCAGCCACACCAGCATCGTTGATCAACTTCGTCACAAATTCTATCTGAATTGCATAGTCCAGGGGGAAAAAAGGATCAATGCTGTTAGGATTTATCTTGTCATATAGGTATATTAGTGTTAACAATCCATGTATAGGCCTATATGGTTTATGGGTGAGAAAGCTAATGAAGACAGCTATGAACTATGAAGTTTCTAGTACTAGCTAGTTGTTAGTGAACTTGAAGTTTACCATTGCAAGAAGCAAGCTGCTGGGGTGAAAATGGAGCAAATTTGGTTTTTACAGGTTGCTTAACTAGCAAGTAGGAGAATATGAGCTGTGTACTATCAGGTTGGTTCCTGTAGCAACTGACCTGAAAGTCCTATAAAAGAGGCAGCAATCCTCCTGTGTAGAAGTGAGTTTGAGATTGAAGATAGAGCCTGGCTGTGAAGATCAAGCTAGTGTATGGTGTATAGTAAGCTAATGTGTATGTGTGATAGTAAAGCTTGATTGTGAAGATCAAGCAATGTGTGTAAGCTTGTAGTGTGAAGTTAAGATCAATATAGTACAAACTCGTGTTACTAGCTACTTATGTTATTGTGTTACTAGAAACAAAGTGATTTTTGTTTTCAACATTAGCAAATTCAAAGTTTCGTATTTAAGCTCAAGAAAAATGGTCTCATCTGAGTTCCACTGTATAGAGAAAAATGCTTCAGATGTAGTTCGATTTCTCATTGAAGAAACTCACATCTGAAAGTTGACAGGACCTTGGCAGCTCAGCAAACGCAAATACTGAACCTTGTGGCTTGAAGCTGATTTTGAAGCCGAAGTCTTTCAGCAACTGAAGGATGAAGTCTCTTTTCTCCTCATAGTCCTAGCCAAAGTCATCACAATTGCAAGGTAAGATAGTTCAATCTGAAAGAAACATGGTTAGAATTAAGGCTCACTTTTTTCAGGGATGTGTAGTAATCTGCTGTGCTTGTTAATGCAATCAACGCAGCTTCTTGGAATGGTGCAGGAGCTGAATCTGTTAATTTTATGTGGATATTTCTAATAGCTGAGGCGATGCTTGCTGCTGCACAAGCCCAACCGAGTCTCCAACCTAGTCAGTCCAGACAGTTAATTTGTCAAGTGTCATCTCACAAGTCACAAAAAAGTTGCTATTTCTATTGTTGGTTGTGTCACAACAAACTGCGCAGCAAATTCCGAGTTGTGCTCACCGGTTACACTGTAAGTTTTTGACAGTGAGGATGTGATGATGGTCCTCTCTTGCATCCCTGGAAGAGAAGCCAGTGAGATATGCTTGTTCGCATCGTAAGTAATATACTCATAAACCTGGAAGATATTTACACACATTGAGACGAGATAGACAGATTTTATGAAAATTTTCTTTGGAAAAATATGTATAAAAAAAGCTCACGAATTTTCACTATGTGTGGGGATAAGAACAATCCATATTGCTCATCACATCACAGATGTACCTCATCAGTTATCGCAAAGCAGTCCATTTTCTGACAAGCCTGGGAGATAATAAGCAACTCCTCTTTGCTGAAGACCTTCCCTGTTGGATTGTGCGGGCTGCAGGTGTAAGATTTGGTCGTTTCACAAGTCAAAAAAAAAAAGTTATGCACAAACATATCCACACACGGGTAACAGCATGAATCAAACAATGACCTGTTCAAGACCACTGCCTTGGTCCGACTTGTAAAAGATTTCAGAAAACTGTCTTCGTTCAGAGTCCAAGAAGGTGGATCCAATGGCACATACACCTAAAAATTTAATTTTGGATCGGATACTGAATTCTGAATCATCATGCTTGCTACATTCAAAACAAAACAAAACTCTGAATTTCTGAACTAGAAAAATGATCTTACAGGGACGCCTCGAGCTAGCTCAATGCATGTCTCATACGTTTCATAAGCAGGATCGAAGAGCAAAACTTCATCTCCTTGGTCGATTACTGCAAGGAAGGAGAAGCAAATGCATATCCATCATCAGGAAGAATGTCCACAAGGTTCTGAAACTAGCATAATTGCCGACTAGTCTGTACTCTACTACTTCAATGTATGTAGAAAAGCTAAACGTCTTATAATTTAGAACGGAGGGAGTACTTGCAAAGATAGCTGCAGCGAATGCTTCGGATTGGCCGCAGCAGATGACGAAGTCCGTGAGCGGGTCGACGTCGAGGCCATGGTCCCGTTTCATCGTGTTGGCGAGAATGTCGCAGATCCCCTGCACATGCCTACGCGCCGCTGCAGTCAGTCGCGGCGGAGTCGAAGTGGAAATGGAAGTGGAACGGGAAACATTTCCCGGCCCTGAGCGCTACTGCCTACTGCGCTAGAGGAGGAGGAGGAGGTGTCGTGGCGAAGGAACCTGTACTGGTTGAGGTCCGCGGCGATGGCGGCGGCAGCGGCGGCCTTGACGTGGGGCGGCGCGGGGAAGTCGGGGAAGCCCTCGGCGAGGTTGACGGCGCCGACGCGCTGCGCCAGGTGGGACAGCTGCTGGATGGGCGACGGCGCGGACCGCCTGGACACCGCCGACAGCCTCCGCTCCATGGCGCCGCCGCCGCTTGTTAGCGCCCGTGTCCGTGTGGGTGTCCGGATAAGGTGAGGTCAGCTAGCAGCGTGCTATTGCTGTCACGCGCGCGCGCGCGATCCGAGCAGCGGGGTTTTGCTTTGTTTGCATTGTAGTTCCACGGGATCAACGACAGTGAACTAGTCTCCGGTCTCACAGACTATTAGTCTCTCAAACCATTAGTCTTTTAAATCAGATTATTAGTCTCTCAGATCAGACTATTAGTTTTCAGATCAGATCACTAGTCTCCCAGAGCAGACCACTAGTCTCTAGACCAGACCACTAGTCTCACAGACCACTACACCGGTTCTGTCCGTACCCACACACTACGGATCGAGCTAGAAGAAGAAGGGAGAACAGAGCAAGCACGCACAATACAAGACAACAATGTTGGCCGAAGCCCTATCTGTGTGATGACAAATCTGAGCTCTCTTCACTGAGTTGCCTTGGTACCCTATTTATACACATCTATCTATCTAACTAAAGTCAAGTAGCATATCTTTGTAACAATAACTAGATAAGTATCTGAGGCGACTCTGCGCTTGAATCCTTTGCATGTGCCTCTGATCTCTGCGGGTAAGCCATGCGGCGCGCTGCACCTCACAATGACTCTTGATTACTGAATGGGGGTAAAGTCGTACCGCCTTCCTCTCATGTGTTTCACATAAGGTGGCGATGAGATTAGCTAACAATCTTCTCCTAATCCTCATCGCTAATCCTTGCACCCCCCATGCCGATCATCTCCTTCACTCCGTGAGTCGAAGTCGTCTCGAGCGACTTGGTGAGGGCGTCCATGAGTTGCCGACCAGTTTCGACAAACTCGATGACGATCCGCCTCCATCAACACACGATCCACGAGGAAGTGGAACTTCACGTCGATGTATTTACTCCGGTCGTGTAAAACCGGATTCTTCGCGAGGGCGATGGCGGGTGGTTGTCCACCATCGTATTTGATGGGTGAGCTTCCACGCCGGTTAGCTTCGCCCGACAAGAACCGGCGTAGCCACACAACAACGCGGCACGCCATGGCGCGCCGCTCGTACTACGCCTCGCCGCGTAGATAGCGCCACAACCTTCGCTTTCGGCGACGACCATAAAATTGGGGCTGACTGAGGAAGAAGATGAGTACGCCAGAGGTGCTCCGTCGTCCGTCGATGTCCCCGCCATGTCTCATCGATCGGTGAACACCGTGAGTCTGCACCTACTTCCCCGGGTCTTTGGGAAGATGATTCCATGATTCACCGTCCCCTTGACGTGGCGTAGTAGCCGCTTCACCGCAGCCCGATGATCCTCTCTCGGGATCCTCCATGAAGCGATCGACGTAGCCCACAATGAACGCAATGTCCGGTCTTGTGTGGACTAGGTAGCGTGACCGCCGACGATACTCCGGGTAGAGTGTTGCATCTACTTTCGCCAGCGGTCTTCGTCTTCGTCGCCTTCACCCGCTCCTCCATCGGTCATGCATGGCTTGCACTCCACCATGCCGCTCCTCTCCAACGACTTGAGGCATACACGCTTTGCCGGCGTGAGTTCCTCCTTCTCTGTCTCACCTCGATGCCGAGGTAGTAGGAGAGAGCGCCGAGATCGCTCATTCGAAAACAAGCTTCCATCTCTCGCTTGAAGCTCGTTGATATCCTCCGTCTTGCTACCGGTGATTTATTAAGTCATCCACATACACGTCGAACCACGAGTTCTTCCTTCCCCGTCGTCGCGTGTAGAGCGCGTGCTTTCGATTCGCGCCTCTCTGAAACCCAAGCTCGCCCGGCGTGGTGTCAAGCTTGGCATTCCATGCTCGAGGGGCTTGCCTCATTATATAGCGCTTTCTTGCGATCGGAGCACCACATGCTCTTCTCCCTTGACAACCGAACCACGGAGTTTGCTGACGAAGACCGTTTCCACCAGCTTCGCCGTTGAGGAAGGCCGATTTAACGTCCAAGTGATGGACGCGCCGCCCGATCCTTCTTTGCCGCTAAAGCAAGTAGCAAACGGACCGACTCCATCTTGCGCTTTGGTGCAAAGACCTCCTCGAAGTCGATGCCCTCATGGCAGACAAAAGCCTCGGCGACGACGAGCGCGCCTTATGTACTTGACAATGGCGCCGAGCTCGTCCCTTTTGACTTTGTACACCCACTTCAGGCTGATCGAACGGCATCCTGGGGGTGGATCAACGAGCTACCAAGTCTCGTTTTCCTTGATCGCCTTCATCTCCTCCAGCATTGCCCATCGCCAGTTTCCATCGCGCTCGGCTAGTGCGAACGTGGGTGGTTCCTCTGCACTGACGAGTAGTAGCTCTACGTCGTTGAGCAGCCTACCCGCTAGACCTGAGGGACCTGTGCCGCCGATGATGTCGTCCAGCCTGCGGAACCTCAACTCCTCACCTTCGTGGTAGGCGTCCATGAACTCAGTTATGTCACTTGGAGGTGAGGTAAACTTGATCGGGGGTGATGGAGTTCCTTCTTCCGCCGGAGTGCCCTGCATAGCACCTGAAGTGCTCGGCACTGCTTCTGGACTGCTCGTCATAACTCCTGCAGTGTTTGGCCACACTGTAGGAGTGCCCAGCCTCAGTCTTGGAGTGGTCGGAACCACAGTAAGACGTCTTGGCTCCGCCACGGGAGTGCTCGGCACCCATCCTAAAGTGGTCGCCACCACTGCAGAACCTCCTGGCTCCACTCCTGGCGTGCTCGGCATCCTTCCAGAAGTGCTCGACACTCTTCCCGGAGTGCTCAGCATCCGTCCTGAAGTGCTCGGTACTGCCCTAGAAGTGCTCGACTCTACCGCCGGAGTGCTCGGCGCTCCTCCCGGAGTGCGTGGCACCTATTCCGTAGCGTCTCCACCGCCGTGGATGACCAAGTGCTCGACGACGAAGGTGTTGGTGAAGCCTCCCGCTTCCCCCATGCTCGGACTATGCCAGTCCCAAGCTGCCTCCTCGTTGAACACAACGTCGCGCGAGACAGTCACCTTGTCTCCGCGTGGGTCATAGAGCCGGTACGCCTTGGTACCCTCCGCGTAGCCCAGGAACACCATGGGTGTGCTCCTGTCCTCTAGCTTGGTGAGGTTCGGCTTCGTCTTCCTGACGTGGCTGATGCAACCGAATGTCCGGAGGAATGACACGTTCGGCTTGCACCCGTACCAAGCTTCGAACGGTGTCTTGCCTGTTAGGGCTTTGGTTGGAGCGCGGTTGAGGATGAACACCGCCGTGGTCACCGCCTCTCCCTAGAATTTTGCTGGCATCCCTTTGGCCTTCGTCATGGATCGGGCCATGCCGACCACTGTCTGGTTCCGTCGCTCCACCACGCCATTCTGTTGTGGCGAGTACGGCGCGGTGTGATGTTGCCCCACACTTTGATCCGCGCAGTACGTAGCAAACTCCACCGAAGTGAATTCGCCACCCCGATCAGTCCTCAGTACACGAAGCTTCTTGCCGCTCTCGGCCTCCGCGCGCGTCTTGAACTTCTTGATCGCCACCGCCGCTTCGTCCTTGATCGTCAGGAGTTGCAGCCACATGTAGCGACTGCAATCGTCCACGAGTAGGAGGAAGTGCCGCTGACCACCGCATGTAGCAGGCGTGATCGGCCCGCAGAGGTCGCCGTGAACTAGCTCGAGAGCTTCCTTCGCGCGATACTTGGCCGCCTTTGGGAAAGGTAGCCTCCTCTGCTTCCTAGCTAGGCAGCTGTCACACAGCTCACCTCCGTGTTTGATGTGGGGTAGCCCTCGGACCATCTTCCCCAGCCGACCAAGCGCGTCGAAGCTGAGATGTCCGAACCGGACATGCCACATCCACGGTTCCTTGGAGTGCCTTGCCGCCAGGCAAACTGGCTGCTCTACCTTCAGGTCGAGCAGGTACAACCGGTTTAGGGACCTCTTCACCTTGGCGAGAAGTCACTGCTCCCGGTCTCTGATCCTCAGAACGCCATCCTTGATCAGAACCTCACTACCACGCTCATCCAGCTGACCAATGCTGATGATGCTGGAACGCAGCTGTGGGATGTAATATACATCCGTTAGCGCGCGGTGCTCCCCATTCTGGCATCTGAAGATGATGGTGCCGCGCCCTTGGATAGCCACCCTTGAGCCATCACCAAACTTCACCGTATCGGTAACATCACCGTCGAGCTCGAAGAAGGAGTCCTTGGAGCCCGTCATGTGGTTACTGGCACCAGAGTCCAGATACCACCACTGCTCCTGGTCGACGCCCACATGCCCAAGATAGACTTGGGCGCGTGGTTCGTCGAGGTTGACAGTCTTCAGGGCCTTGCTAGATCCTTCCACCGTCGTCGCCTCTTCCCTCTCCATGGCCCCGACATCGTGCAGTGCACAGAACATCGCCATAAGGATAGTGGCCTCATCCTCATCATCGGCTTTCGCCAGGTGAGCCTGAGCCTTCTTTTCCTTCTTGCGATTTGGGCACTCCCGTGCCCAATGGCCCATCTTCCCGCAACACCGACAGGCGTTGGAGTCAATTTGCTTCTTCTCCGAAGAAGCCCTACCGCAATGTTTGCTGTTTCCACCGCGACTGGAGGAGGCTGCCTTCCTGGAGTTTCGCCGAGCAGCCCACTCCTCTTCCGTCAGCAGGAGTTTCCCGCTGTCCTTCGTTGCTGTTGCCTGTTCCAGGCGCTCGTCCACCGCCCGTAGACGGCCTGCCACATCCTCGATGGTGAGGGTGGACAAGTCTAGCATTGTCTCTATGGAGAGAGCGATCTGGATGTACTTTGCCGGCACGGAGTGGAGGAATTTGGAGACCGCCTCCTCTTCGTCGATGGTGATGCCGTGGCTCTTTAGCTTGCTGATGAGCGTCTGCAAGCGGAGGAAGAAGTCCTCCACTTTTCACCATCCTTGAACTTGAGGATTGTATACTCCTGCTTCAGAAGCTGGGTCGTTGCCTTCTTTGCGCGGTCGGAACCGACACGCATCGCCGCAATGGCCTCCCACGCCTCCTTAGCTGAGCTCTTCGTCCCCAACGGTTCCCTATACTCCGCCGGTA